ATATATATATATATATATATATATATATATATATATATATATATATATATATATATATATATATATATATATATATACTATAAATTAGTAGAAAATGTATTTACATAAATGTTTTGCAGAGGTGTAAAGAGTACCTAAAAAAGTAGAGATACAGATACAGGAGGCTAACAAGCTTAACAAGATAAGACACACACTGACTACAAACACCTCAGGAGACAGGAAGTGACGTAAAAGTCCAAGACAAGGCACAGAGAGCATGTAACAAAAACAAGAAAGAGCTGATTTTTGAGGGGAGCAATCACGTTTATTTTATAAAACCAAAATAAAACTCAACACCTCAAAATTACAAAACAAAACAAAACACAACAATATCCTTCAAAAAGGTCTCAGTATAACGGATAGATAAAATGATGTTAAGTAAAATGAAAAAGTCAAAGCACTCTTGCACAGGATGTGCTGGTTTCAGCCTCATCGCTGGCTGCAGTCATGTCCTCATCTCATACACAAAACACATGCGATTCAAGTAACTCGTATTCACATAAAGCAGTCTCACTGACACATGTGTGAGGAAGGGCAAAACACACAAGATCTAGGACTTGCAGTGCCCTGTAGTTGGGGATATCACGTCTTTTGTAGCAGAAGTAAACTGCTGCAGAAAAAGCTAGGTGCCATGCAAAATGTAATGTGTAACTGCAACACTCATTTCTAATGTAGTGGAGTAAAGTAGTTACATTTACTCAAATACTTCACACCTCTGATGTTCTGAAACACATTTTACCAAATATATTTATATAGCAAATATATGTTTAAATATGTTTCAAAATATACAAAAAAATTGCCATATATATATATATTCTCTAAAATGTGTTTCAAAACATATTTACACAAATATGTTTTCTCATTTGTTTTGTATATTTTTGAAAATATATTTGAAGAGTTCAGATTCAAAAGCCTCTAAGTGGCGTTTAAAATTTTCTTCTAAATGAGCATTTTTATCAGGCTCCTATGTTTACGTTCAGTTAATTCACTTTAATGGCAATGACAAGAACCTATTTAACCTATTTTATTTATGCCATTAAAGTGAAATTACTGACCCTGCACATAGGAGACTGATAAAAATGCTCATTTTAGAAGAAAATTTCAAACAGCACTTAGAGGCTTTTGAGTCTGAACTCTTCATTTATACATTTAAAATATATTTAAAAATTAAAAAAATGGCCAAAAATATATTTTCTGAAATATGTTATAAAATATATTTACATAATATTTTGATATATATATATATATATATATATATATATATTCTGCTTTCAAGTTTATTTAAAGTTTTAGTAATTTTGTTGTGTGTTTTCGTAATTAGTTTAGTTTTAGTTATTTTAGTACATCAAGTTAAACTAACTGATATAAAAAATATATATATAATAATAATTAACAAAAATAAAAATAATATTATACAATATATAAATTATAATAATAATATAATAATACATGTGTATATATATATATATATATATATATATATATATATATATATATACTCTAAAATGTGTTTCAAAACATATTTACACAAATGTTTTCTCATTTTTAAAAATATATATATAAATATACAAAATAAAAATATATTTATTTGTATTTTATTATATTTATTATTTATATTTATTACATAATAAATATATTTTCATAATATTTACAAAACATATTTTCTATCTTTTCTATGAATATATATTTTTCTTTCTATACATATAAAATTAAAAATATATTTCAACCTCTATATTGATTAAACTTCAGAAAGGAACAATAATGCAATATTTAAAATTATTAAACATCATTAAATCATTATAAAACTACTTTTGATTTCTAGCAGGCCAACTGCTTTTTTTTTTTTAATGCAGGCTACTGAAATTTATTTTCTTGTCCCTGAAATACATTTAGGAATATATAATGTTGTGTGTGTGTGTGTGTGTGTGTGTGTGTGTGCACATATTGTCATATGAGAAATTACATTATTTATTTTTTTACACTGAACAAAAGTTGTTGGGTGATTTAGCAGTGCTTGCTGGGGTTATTTTCTGTGTTAACTGTCCCTCCTCAAAGACCCGCCCTACTTAGTTACTGTTGCTATGTCTGACAAGCCATGCTGCTCTCACGCTACACATGATGTTCTCACGCAGTGAACAATACATCGCAGAGCAAAGAGGAAACTGACAACATGCCGACAGACAAGACAGGTTACTTCTGATATGAAGCGAAACTTTCAAATTTGGTCATTTTTTAAGAAATGTAAACAATACCATTTTGTGGCTCTTTAATGTGTTGTGACAGATCGCTGTATTGCCTCAGTTCAAACAGCACATTAAATAAACATTAATGAACATCAGGAGGTATTTCATTTAAACTGCGGAAAGATGCCAATACACACAATTGTTCATGTTTAAGTCCACCGAAGTGAATCTACTCTCCTGTCTGATTTGTTTGTCAGACACCGTGGCAGATTCTGCATTATTATTAGTCAAATCGCCCGTCAATCAAGCTCTCTGTGAGAAACTGTAAATAATCCAGAATATTTGCTTGAACATTAAAATCACACTTTCTCCATCAAAGAGTTGCATTGTGGGAAGTGTAGTGTGTGTGTGTTTAGCTAAAGCCTCACAGCTCTTCCTGTAGCTCTGGTTGAACTTCCTGTTTGGTAAGTAACTGCTGCAGACATCCAGAGGCGGACAATCCAGGGGTCAGAAAGTAAAAGTCCTGCCATATGTTTATTCCACCCATGAACTCAGCAGCTGATTTCAGCAGAGGAGGAACCAAGTCATTCCTTTCAAGTCACAAACGAGTCTCGAGTCAAATCCCAAATCCTCAAAGAGTTAAAGTTAATGAGATAATTAAGTGACTAATTAAATGATGATTGTGCATTAGTGATGAACACCTGCTGTTATTGAGAATTACAGAGGATCAGATGTTGATGTTTTATTGGTTAAAATTATGTCACCATCATGGAGATCAGTGTTTGCTTTAGTTGTGCTCTTGACCCTTGACTTCTTGTCTCAGGTCTCTCTTTGTAATTAATGCACATAGTAGTGGAAGGCAGTGAGATCAGTGCTATAAGTTAACAGCTGTTAGCTGTTATCAAATGATGAGAAAATTATCAGGGACCAACCTGTTCATATCCACGCTAGCTTCTTTGTTTTTTATGTGTTTAGATTTTAAATGACTGATAATGTACAGCATGCAATGGAAGTCCTTCTCTAATAGTTATATGAAATCGATGTTGAAATTGTATTATACAAGTAATAATTAATGCCAGTATGATAAAGACACACACAGACATCAAGAACCAGCATATGAATCTCAACAAAGGTGACAATCAACAAAATGCTTCATGCTGCAATGCATGCTGGGTAACACCATAGTAAAAGCTCCCATCATGCACTGCAGCATGAATAATTGTCACCACTGTTGAGGATCATATGATAAGTGTTCATGTCTAAAAGCCTGAGCAATAGATTACCTCTGTTTTTCAATATTTAAGCATCATGGTTGCATTTGTTTGATAGGCCTTTTTTCTGTTCTGTAACAGCTGAATGTTAGTCAATACACCAAAGAGAGACACCTTCACAATAGTCACTCAAGTGAGTTAAAAGCTGAACATGTAAGCTGCTTCCTCAAGCTTTTAAGTTGGCAATGTGCAAATGCACAAATATTTATTGGTAAACAATACTGTAATTGTTTAAAAGCAACTAACTCTGTATTATCAATAGGGTCAAGAGCACAACTAAAGCAAACACTGATCTTCATGATGGTGTCATAATTTTAACCAATAAAACATCAACATCTGATCCTCTGTAATTCTCAATAACAGCAGTGATTTGCTTTTAAGCAGTTACAACATTGTTTTACAACAAACATTTGTGCATTTGCACATTGCCAACTTAAAAGTTTGAGGAAGCAGCTTACGTGTTCTGTTTTTAACCTCTATAGTGTATTGACTTACATTCAGCTGTTACAGAATAGAAAAAAGGTCCTATTAACCGAATGCCACCATGATGCTTTAATATTGACTAAAAAAGGAAATATATTGTTCAGGCTTTTAGACATGAACACTTATCATATGATCCTCAACAGTGGTGACAATAATTATTCATGCTGCAGTGCATGATGGGAGTTTTAACTATGGTGTTACCCAGCATGCTTTGCAGCATGAAGCATTTTGTTGATTGTCACCATTGTTGAGATTCATATGCTGGTTCTTGATGTCTGTGTGTGTCTTTATCATACTGGCATTAATTATTACTTGTATAATGTAGTTTCAACTTCGATTTGATATAACTATTAGAGAAAGACTTCCATTGCATACTGTACATTATCAGACATTTAAAATCTAAACACATAAAAAAAATACAAAAAAGAAGCTAGTGGATATTAAAAGGTTGGTCCCTGATAATTTTCTCATCATTTGATAACAGCTAACAGCTGTTAACTTATAGCACTGATCTCACTGCCTTCCACCACTATATGCATTAATTACAAAAAGACCTGAGACAAGAAGTCAAGGGTCAAGAGCACAACTAAAGCAAACACTGATCTTCATGATGGTGACATCATTTTAACCAATAAAACATCAACATCTGATCCTCTGTAATTCTCAATAACAGCAGGTGTTCATCACTAATGCACAATCATCATTTAATTACTCACTTAATTATCTCATTAACTTTAACTCTTTGAGGACTTGGGATTTGACTCCAGACTCGTTTGTGACTTGAAAGGAATGACTTGGTTCCTCCTCTGCTGAAATCAGCTGCTGAGTTCATGGGTGGAATAAACATATGGCAGGACTTTTACTTTCTGACCCCTGGATTGTCCGCCTCTGCCTAATACTTATATTTTGATAAAGCTAATTGTTAGTATTAGCATCTCGGTGGCAGCTGCTTTTAGGAGCCTCCGTTATATGTTGCTTGCAAGGATTGATCATAATATAAATCTACTTTTGAATGTCAATGAATGGAGAAAGATGCTCTTTTGGCAGCAGATCAGTGCAGTTACAGCATCTACCAGCAGAAGTGAACAGATCAAACTAACCACACAAACCTTGAGCTCAACATACAACAAGAAGAGGCTATATATTTATACATGGACAGACATACAACAATAAAATAAAATGAATATCAAAATACACTTGCAGTCCAGAATAGCATGGTTTAATTTGTCCATTAAGCTGCAGATTGCAAGTAACTCATGAGACTCAACTTCAGAAATGAATACAGAGATTAATTTAAATGTATTAATCCATATTTGTGCATATCAGCTGCAAACATACAAAGAACAATTATAACAATGATAAACATAATACAAAAAGATTGAGTAAAGCCAACAAAATGAGGTCAATTATGACTGATTTCCAGTAAAATAATGAAAATTATGAGAAGGATGAAGATGATTTCTCTTGGTTCTCAACATGCTCATAAATGCATTATATTAATGGTGCTTGCAAAATCATGCACCCTGATGCCAAACTGTACATATTTAGTATCATATTATATATGATGCTATATTATATTAGCTAAATTGAACTGGTTTGTGTTGTGGAGTTGATGAAGAGATGCTGGAGTCTCACTGACGGGTCTGTAGAGTCACATATGACACAAGTTTAGGAAACACAGCTGTAAACTACAGTGGTTTCTGTGTCTCTGGCATTATGACGTCCAGCTTCTTTGATCTACAGTCATAAAAAATAAGAATTAGTTAATTAACAGAGAAAACTACTCAACTAAAGTGAATGAGTTTAATGTTATAACACATATTCAGCATCAAAATACTGTAAATCACCGCAGTCACAGTCTTTTTCATCATCATCATCAAAATGCTGAGCAAGAGATGAAACCCTGACTGTGTTTTAGAGAAACTGCTAATGAAATACAGCTGTAAGACATTTTAAATCCAGTTTCTGAAGACTCACCTGTTCATAAATCACTGGATTAAACTCTTCGATGGAGGACGACAGCAGACCTGCGCAACAGATCAGTGTAAGTCTTTATTAAATGTTTTCTTCTTTAAAACTATTCATCATTTAATCCAGTGCTCATGCATGTCAACCTAAACCCGACCGAATGCAATCTTCAGTATTCTGTTTAAAACATTACCTTTATTCTTCTTTTTCTTCCATACAGCCACTAAAATCAATGGAAGTCCTATCAGGAGTAAAACCAATGCTTCTGCAGTGATGATAATCACCAATGAACCTGAAAAACACCAGAGGAAAACATTGTCTGAAATACTGTAAAAACAGAAACAACCATCAGCATCAGAACAGGAACTGGTTTACAGAATGAATGAGTGAAAGTCTTGGATGAAATTAGACAGATATAAGACTTATTGAAAGTCATGTTGCCATGACAACAGTTCATCAGAGCTTTCACTTCCTGTTCTGATGAACAATGTTACATTAAGTGCACTTCGTGTGAGATAGATGCAAAGAGCAGAAGCTGATCTGACCTGGTGAGGAGATGTGATGATCTGTGATCGTGATGGTGCTGGATTGAAGCTTCGTGTCTGATGTGGTCAAATGAGGCAACGTGTTTGAAAATGAGCTCAGAGTGTGATCTGAAAGTAAATATAGACTGAGCTGCTATACTGACACAATAAATATAAAAACTGGAAATTGGAAATGTAATATTAAATGTCCAGCACCTGGATGGAGGGTGGATGTTGAGATCTGGACAGGCCTTGTTTTCTGTGGAGCTGAAAAAACAATGGAGAGCCGTCACACCGTTCAAATAAAACAACTGCATTTATAAAGCCATCATCATCTATAGCAGTGTTTCTCAACCCTCGTCCTGGGCGCCCCCCAGCACGGCACATTTTTTGTCTCTCCCTAATCAAACACACCTGATTCAACTCATTAGCTCATTATAAGAAACTCCAGGACCTGAAATGGGTGTCAGATAAGGGAAACATACAAAATGTGCAGTGTTGGGGGATGCCCAGGACCAGGGTTGAGAAACACTGATCTATCGCATGAATCATTGTGAATATAGTGGATCTTCTAACGATGTAGCAAGTACATCGGGTGTTATGAGAAGTGTTCCCGGTTCCGGTTGACCTAATTAATGCAGCCTAAAAATCCTTTAACGCATTTGAATATTAGAAGCGTATTAGTGTGTTATGTGTAAGCCATTTTAAAGAGATGGGTCTTTAATCTAGATTTAAACTGACAGAGTGTGTCTGTCTCCCGAACAATGTTAGGTAGGTTATTCCAGAGTTTGGGCGCTAAAAAGGAGAAGGATCTGCCGCCCCAGTTGATTTTGATATTCTAGGTATTATCAAATTGCCAGAGTTTTGAGAATGCAGCAGACGTGGAGGACTATAATGTAACAAGAGCTCTTTCAAATACTGAGGTGCTAAACCATTCAGGGCTTTATAAGTAATTTGCAAGATTTTAAAATCCATACGATGTTTAATAGGTAGCCAGTGCAGTGTTGACAGAACTGGGCTAATATGGTCATACTTCCTGGTTCTAGTAAGAAACTCTAGCTGCTGCATTTTGGACCAGCTGGAGTTTGTTTATTAAGCGTGCAGAACAACCACCCAATAAAGCATTACAATAATCTAACCTTGAGGTCATAAACGCATGGATTAAGATTTCTGCATTTGACATTGAGAGAATAGGTCGTAATTTAGATATATTTTTGAGATGGAAAAATGCAGTTTTACAAATGCTAGAAACGTGGC